CCCCCAAAAAAAAAGTAAAGAAAGAAAGTAAAACAAACAAAAAACAGTAAAAACAAAGATGGTTAAGATCTTGACAGAAATTAGAGAACCTGTTATAGATAGAGTAGAGAACTTGTAGTGTTTTTGCCTGCTTGTTGTTTTATAGCCATCTTGACTCATATGAGTATGAGTTATTATTTGTGCCTATGGTTACCTGTAACGTGGACCAAAAGGCCATTAGATTCATAGGTATACTGGACTTTTTGAAAATAAGGCAACATTTCAAGCTCCATGGCCCACTGGTTGACATTAGACTATTGCTTTCCTTCTGTCCTTTTGATTGTCTACCTTGCTTTGCTAGTTTTCATAGATGAAGCATATGCATTCTTGAAACCAAGAGAAGGGCCTTAAAATATTTTGCATTTTTTATTTGAAAATTTACCATCTAACTACTTGCAGAAAATTTAAGCATTTAATGCTGGACTAGTTATTGATTTCATTCCATTTAATGTCTCACTTTATATACCTTTTTCCTTTGTTTGATTCAGATATGCAGGGCGCTGGCTTATATTCATAACTGTATTGGCATCTGTCACCGTGATATCAAGCCTCAAAATTTACTGGTGAGATGTTTCTTTATGATAGTGGATTTCTGCGTTTCTAAGTACATCTGTTACTTTTTATTTTTTCTTGTTCTGGGCCTCATTCTGGATCAAAGGCCCCCATAATCTTGACTGGATAATAGGTGTTTATTTGTTTTCTTGAATGAGTATGATTAGCTGCAATGTGTTATGTGCACGATTGATTTTGTAAGTTAATAATCTAGTTGGATCACTGTACTTTTTTGTTTACAGAATAGAATTTGATATGATTCTGTATTGTATATTTGAATATCATTTGGTTAAACTGAGCGAACAAAATTCCATACTTTAACTCATAGAAAGCCTTACTAAAATTAAAACTGTATTGCAACAAGGAAGAGGAAAAGGATTGAATAGAGGAACGCCCTAGCATTTCGCATAAATGATTGCGATTGTATATTTTCAGTCTTATGATGTGTGTAGATGCCTGGTAAAATACTCCAGTTTTGGGAAAATTCTAAGACCATTATGAGTGAAGTGGTAAAGGGCATTGAAGAGGTTTATTAACTTAAATTTGTTTTATTAGACAAGCCAGTGATCACCCTATAGAGTAACCAAGTAACTTAGTATCCAGCAGATCAAGAATGCAAATCCTTTTAAGTTGATCTCTCTAAGAGGATATACATTTGTACCTGTTAGACAGAGATGCAATAGCTTAATCTTATGGTAAAATACTAGATGATTTCAAGCTTAATATTGGATAGTATTATGTTACTGCCATTGCTGGTGTCTTCTGATTATCTTCATGATATTTTTATCTTACTAAGCTGAAATACTGTTTAATACTTAGGTAAATCCACACACGCATCAGCTGAAGCTTTGTGATTTTGGAAGTGCAAAAGTTTTGGTAATTTCTCTCCGCAAAGACCACTTTGAATTTAAGGGTCATGTTGCACTTGCTCCAGTTTTCTGACTTAATTCTTGGACCACTTGTTAGGTGAAAGGTGAACCCAATGTGTCATATATCTGTTCGAGATATTATCGTGCCCCTGAACTCATATTTGGTGCCACCGAATACACAACAGCTATTGATATTTGGTCTACAGGTTGTGTAATGGCTGAGTTACTTCTTGGACAGGTATATCCCTGTCTTAATTTTTTGTGCTATTCTTGGTCAAATGTTGTATTATTTGTTCTAATACTTCTAACAAATCCTTTTGGTGGACAGCCATTGTTTCCCGGAGAGAGTGGGGTTGACCAATTAGTAGAGATTATAAAGGTGGATTTTAGACTTTTTTATTCTTGATACTATCTTCTCCAAAGATACTGGCTGTTTTCTTTTCCATTACAATTAAGTATCTTCTCCAAAGATACTGGCTGTTTTCTTTTCCATTACAATTAAGTTGGACCTTTTTTCCCTCTGTTAATAAGAGAGCATGTTAATACGTTATCGCTTAAGAGTTCGACAATTTCTGTACAGTATGATCATAGATTTATAATGCATATGTGATATTGGTACCTAACGTGTATACGGAAAATATCCCAGTTTTCTTAGTTCAACGGGCAATAGATAAGAAGAAGCAAAGATCTCGTACTCTGCATGTGTTGAAGTTTGTGCAACTTGCACTCATTTGCTTTTGTTCTATATTAGATACTCCCTCCCATCCGCAATGAGTGACCATTTTACCTTTGGCACACCCATTAAGGAAATACGAACTCGTAGAGAAAAAAAGATGTATTCACTAAATTAACCTTAATTAATTGTTACATTGACACATTGGAATATGTAAATAAGGCCAAATTTTTGAAAAATAAAATTAATTCTTTCTTGATTATGTAAATGGATTTATTTTGGACCAAAATAAAAAAGTTCAAATGGTCACTTATTGTGGACCGGAGGGAATATCTTTTATTCTATTTTGTTCTATACTGATATCTTTCCTTGAGTCTATGAAGTGTCACTCATCCATTTTTTAACTTTTGAAATGCCTAGCTAGTTTTAGGGTTTTTGTTGATGAACACATTAATTCATGTCTGTGGTGCTGTCATGCATGTTAAAGTGCTGCTTTCTGTTTCCCCTGGAAGAGAGTGGACGGAGGGGGGTTGATTCCTCTTTGTATATAACCCTAAGAGACTACTTTTGTGAGTGCTTTTGTTTATAATGTAGCTGCACATGTTGATGGGAAAAGATGGATTGTTATTTGCGGCCTACTTATGCAGGCAGGGTTTAATCATATATTAAGTGCTGTAGAAGTGTTTGTGTTTGCTGTGGACCATGCCTTCATAATTATTTTTTTTCTACTTCGAATTCTATGCAGGTTTTGGGGACACCTACTAGAGAGGAGATAAAATGCATGAATCCTAACTACACCGAGTTTAAATTTCCACAAATAAAGCCACACCCATGGCACAAGGTATGCTGCATAAACCTTAAAGTAAAGCTGAAATTCAAACTCTAAACACTTGAATATTGGTGCTCACTGGTGCACACTTATGTGCTCATGGTCATTTCATCACTTTTACTTTTTGATGGGAAAATGAGCAGTGATTATTGCTTTTATCTTTTTCCTTCCTTCTACTGAAAGTCAGATATACGTAACCAGTACCATGGGCTGCTTGATTTAATTCATTTTTTTCTGATATCAGTAATGATGGATGGCATTAAAAATACTTTTGTTAATCAAGTAAAGTTGGTCAAGGAGAGTTTTGGAAGTTGCTTATTTCTGCTTAACAAGATTAAAGTCCAAAGGTGGATAATATACTTAAGCCAAGAAGAAGGGCCAGTTATGGATAAAAAAAAGTATCGGTGAAAGCCATGCCTAAATCTGATAACTTGATCTTCCTTTTGGTTGTATTTGCCTNCCCCCCCCGGTCACGACCCAAAATCCCTCCGAAGGAGTCGTGATGGCACCTAATCTCTAAACTAGGTAGGCCTAGCTTTAACAGAAATAACATTGATAGTTACTAACTTCAAATTAGATAATCTCTAAACAATTATAATTCTCAAAACTGGTGGTACAAGTCATAAGCCTTTCTAAGAGTAGTTATACAAAATAATTACGTCACTGTTCCACAAACAAAGGATCAAATGGGAGTAAGTGAAGGTGACTCTGAAGTCTGCAAACGCAGCAACAAGTTTGCCTTAAGTCTCCACCGCGACGATCCACACAGCTACTATCGATTAAATACCTGGATCTGTACAAAAAAATATACAGAAGTATAGTATGAGCACACCATGGCGGTGCCCAGTAAGTATCAAGACTAACCTCGGTGGGGTAGTGGCGAAGAACAGTCAAGACACCTACTGGTCAAATGAATTGAACAGGATATGACAATAAAATACCAAGATAAAGATAACAAAGTAATATCAACAGCAGGGAGAAATCAAACTACAAACAGTAGAGACAATAAAGGGAAACACGGATGAAAACGAAAGATAACCAAGTAGATTAACACCAACATAGCTGGGACACAGACAAGTAAAAATGTACTCAAATAAGGAAGGCGATGTTAACTCAATCAATCATATCATTTCTGATGCACAATTCCAACTATCTCAAAACTCAATGTCTCGTATCGTAACCTCAATTTCCAAAACCTTCAGCACACACGGCACCTTGTGCCCACACATTTCTAGCTCACTTTGCACAGCGTCATCCTCATGCTACTTAGTACGTCAGGTCCATAACCAATGCAATTAAGATGTTCAAGGAGTCTCATTTATATAATATAAAGTAGAGTACAACTTCTAGACCAATTAGGAAATTAGCAAGAAAGGATGAAGTTATTTTTAGAAATTATTTGAATAAAGAAAATACCCCTTTTCAAATAAAATACAACATCGAATGAATTGTTACCTTTAATATAGGATTTGATAAATTAAAACTTAGTAGAAATTCCTTTTTAAGTAACATTCAATATCATCGGGTTAAGAAAATTTAATTGAGAAACTAATTGAAATAGAACATAACATTTATAGGAATTTGAATTATTGAAAGGTGTATATATACACGGCGAGTTCAAATTTAAAAGTCATATATAGCAGCGTAATACTAGTTCCTTTATTTTAAAATTACGATATTACTAATAACTTAACAGATAGGAGGAAATGATTCAACGTAGTAAATTTACTTTGAAAAATTAATTTACCAGAGTAATAGTTTCTGGTAATGAATTCAAGGAACAATGGCAAGTCAACAACTCAATGCCAATAATCCGATCCTCGCAACTCAGTGAAACCCGAAATACAAATTGTCAAGTCTTAAATAAATGAACTAGGGTCCTCTCAGTATTCAACTATAACCAAATCCTAAATGAAATGTAAAACCACCGGATAACTCGTATAGTCAAAGAGGAATACATAAGCATATATATATTGATGCAGCGTGCATCCCGATCCCACCAATCCTCCCTTATTCCTCCGTAACAATTACAATAAAAGTAAATAGTATATATATTTGTTACGGTGTGCAACCCGATCCCACCAATCCTCCCTTATTCCTCCTTTACAATTACAATAAGAGTAAATAGCATATATATCACCATATCAGTAACAAAATGATCATTCTCCCTTATTACTCCTTGTTGTGGCGTGCAACCCGATCCCACCAGTCCACCCTTATTACTCCTCAATATATATATCACCCTTATTCCTCCTGTTGCGGCGTGCAACCCGATCCCATCTGTCCACCCTTATTACTCCTTGTTACGACGTGCAACCCGATCCCACCAGACAACATCAATTCTCCCTTATTCCTCCTCATCATATCAACAACCCAACATAGTTTAAAATCAACAACAACAACAATTTAACAACCTAATCACAGGGATTTCTACCACCAAGAGTATGAGTACACGACAACGAGAGAATTATGGAAAAACCAAGAAGCACAATAACCTTAACAAAACAACAAGACATAATAAGCACGTGATAACTACACCGACAACCACAACAATTTGGACACATAACATATATGCACGGGGTCATAAAGGAATTCACAATTAAGAGATAACAAAACAATAGAGAGAACAATCACTTCAATTAAGGCAAATAAGGGCCAAGTAACAAGTAAGAGTTAGAGGAAAGCTAATAACATCGTATGGAGCATATAGAGGTAAAACAATCAATTAGGAAACCCAATCATATCGGAAAACTTCTTACTGAACATAAGGACCTAAGAACCCTAAAGGCAAATTTCCCACAAATAAGTTCGAGCACACACTCGTCACCTCGCGTGCACGGACTACAAGTAGCATAGAAAACTCAAATCCTAAGGGGAAGTCCCCCCCACAAGGTTAGGCAAGATACTTACCTCAATCCGGCCAATTCAATACTCAATTTAGCTTTTCCTTTACAACTCATCAACGCTCAGCTCAATCTAGCCAAAAAACGACTTGAATACATCAAACAATGCAAGAGAAAACAATTTCAATTAACAAAACTATGATTCTTACACAATTTGCAAAAAGTCAACAAAAGTCAACTCTCCGAACCCGCACCTCGGAACCCGACAAAATTTACAAAAACTGAATACCCATTCCGATACGAGTTCACCCATATGAAAATTATCTAATTCCGACACCATTTGGTCCCTCAAATCATCATTTTACATTTTTGAAAGATTTCACAATTTTTCCCAAATTTTCCTTTAGATTCTCATGAATTTGATGTTAAATCTAAGATATAATCACAAAATATAATTGGAAATTGATTAGAGACACTTATCCAATGATTTGGTATGAAAATCTTCTCTCAAAATCGCCCACTCTCGGAGTTAGGGTTCAAAGAATATGAAAAATGAGCAAAAACTTGGAATACCCAGTTTTTAGCAGGCTGCAGATGTCGCATTTGCGACACTGGGTTCGCAAATGCGAACTCGCAAAAGCGAATAAATCTTCGCAAATGCGAAGCCTGAATTTACCCTGTCACCATCGCAATTGCGATGAAAATCTTCGCAAATGCGAAGGGCCTTCGCAAAAGCGGCCCAGAACTTCGCAATTGCGAACCTTCCCTGCCCAGTTCATTTCTCGCATTTGCGAGACTGGCTTCGCAAATGCGAAGTATGCCTGTCCCAGCCATTTCGCAAATGCGAGATCAGACAGCAGCAACTCAAAAATTTCTACCAAACACTCCGAAACGCTTTTGAAACTCAGCTGAGCCCTCGGGGCTCTAAACCAAACACCCACACAAGTCTGAATACATAACAAAAACTCGCTTGCACGATCGGAACACCAAAATAACCTCTAGAACCACGAATCGGATGCCAAAACGCATGAAAATCACTATGAACTTCAAGAACTTCTAGAATTGCAACCAAGCGAATCATGTCAAATCTACTCCAAACGACACCAAATTTTGCAGGCAAGTCCCAAATGACATAACAAAGTTGTTCCAGCTTTTGGAATCGCATTCCGTCCCCGATAACATAAAAGTCAACTATGGGTCAAACCTGTCCATTTTCCAAACTTTAACTTTTCCAACTTTTGCCGAAATGCGTCAAATTACCCTACGGGCCTCCAAATCCAAATCCGAACACACGCCTAAGTCCAAAATCACCATACGAAGCTACTGACATCATCCAAAACTCATTCCGGAGCCGTTTACTCAAAAGTCAAATTCCGGTCAAACTCTCATCGCTTAAGCTTCCAAAATTAGATTCCTTCTTCCAATTCGACTCCGATTCATCCGGAAACAGAATCTAACCATGCACGCAAGTCGATGCACATAATATGAAGCTGCTCGTGACCTCAAACTGCCGAACCGGACACAATTGCTCAAAACAACCAGTCGGTCGTTACAACCCCCCCCCCCCCCAAAAAAAAAAAAAACTCCCAAGCCCCAAACCTTCTTCCTGCTTACGATAGTAAAAGGCATTAAAGAATTTCTGAAAGCAAGTGGCGAATTGCTGCTTTGGAGAAACATATAGGAACGGTGGGAAACTATTTTACTGGCACCCTTCTATGGTGTGGAAAGATGGGACACTGGTAAACAGGAACTAAGAATAAGAGCAGTCTGTGTTAAAAAGTAGAACCTGTTGGCAAAAGATAGGAAACATGTGGCGCTTGGATCCAGAATATCTTAGATGATGGTGGTACTTGGGTTCTCCTCCCAAATATGATACTTGAAAATCATAGTCTGTCAAATACCATGAAGGGCATGAACATTCTTCCCATGTGTCAAAACTTATGCTATCAGTTAGTCCAGTGAGATCTGGACTATATTATCTTTCCATTTAACCCATGGAAACATCCTTATATATTGTCTTTTATTCCATATATTTGGATGAATTGTGCTACTTTTTCCTGATTGTTTTCCATCATATACAGGGAGTTCATATTCTCAGTCGCCACTTTCTCTCTGATAAAATATTTCCTCTATGCAAGTCTAACTTACCTCACAATGCATCTTGCAGGTTTTTCAGAAGCGATTGCCTCCAGAAGCAGTTGACCTGTTGTGTCGGTTTTTCCAGTATTCACCCTATTTGAGATGCACTGCTGTAAGTCTACTTTCTGTCTGAATTTATTCAATCTTATTATGTTGAGGTTTGGATGTAGTAGCCTATTGATTTGTGCTTTGGTCATGCAGTTGGAGGCTTGTATTCATCCATTCTTTGATGAGTTGAGGGATCCTAATACCCGTCTTCCTAATGGTCGCCCTCTTCCACCACTTCTCAATTTCAAGCCGCAAGGTAATGTACAGTTGTACACCCAAAAAACAGCTATTTTGCCACATTGTAAGTGTATTATGTGACCAATTTATTAGAATAGATGCACCTGATTTTAAGAATTAGGCTCTGGGACTAAATAATCCTGATTCCAACTGCAACTACATGTGGGAAAGAAAAAGATGAGAGAAAGGGGCTACCTTTAGTGACTAGTTCATTTAGGACTTTAGTGACCGAAGCTTTTGCTTGTCTTGACCTGAATAGAGCGGAATTGTTAGAGTGTGTTCATATAACTGACTTTAACTAATTTTTATTGCGGTGTAGTTGATTGATCATGAATTCATGATAATGTTCTCTAATTTATGGAGGTGTTAACCACAACTTTTTTTGAGGAGGTTTTTTTTTCCTTTTCTTTGAGAAGTCTACCCACAACTTCAATACGACATGGGCAGATTTATTCTGGTTGGCTTAGCTCTTTCTGCTCCAGCATGGATCCGACTGTTTTTGCTCTAATTAGTCACCATGTAGGTTGATCCTGGGTCCCGGAAACAGCCTCTCTACCCTCTCCGGGGTAGGGGTAAGGTCTCGTACACTCTACCCTCCCCCGACCCCACTGGTGGGATTCTACTGGGTCGTTGTTGTAGGTTGATCCTGTGATCACTTTGCCTAGTTATGTTGCACCTACACTTTAAGGAATGTGGTTAACATTGCTAAGAAACTAGTACCACACATGTCCAATTGTCCTACCCAAAAAAAAAAAAAATAG